TTTCTGGGTCTAAGATTAAGAAAAGCCAAAGAGAAGATAAATTATATTACAGAAGATTCAGGCACAGCAATAATAGATCAAGAGTCAGATCAAAATTTGATGTTAGACTGTGGGAAAATACATCCTGGGTAGGATTATTTAACTCAGGGAGGTGAAAATGGGTAGGACTGGTTTGAACAAAGGATGATATTGACAAACTTGGAGCTTATTGACTTCATATCTCTCACTATGAGACATGCTGCAAGAAAAATATCTACAGGAATATGATAGAAAAATACAAGAATGAAACGAATAGCAAAGGGAAAGTAAAAGAAAAGAAAGAAGTCCACTGCAGCAAGCAATACAGCTGGTGTCTGTTAGAGAAGGGAAACTTTCTGAAAGGAATTGGAATACAGTAGAGACAAATCCTAAATACTGTAGAAAGAGGGGACAGAAATGTTAAGACCAAGAGCATCCAAAAACTGAGCAAAGACCCTGTCTACAGGAAGAAATGACATTGTGCTAGTCCTCACTGAATACTAAGACCATGAGGCTCAGAAACATAAACAGCCACTTCGAATCAGAAATCCATGGAGCAAAGTTACTCTCTAATGGGAACTGATATGAAGATGAGGAGGAAGCTGTGTTCACAAAGTAGGGTTTTTTGGCTTAAATGATTCCATAGACAGAGGCCATGACAGCAGCCGTTATGAGCCAGGTTTGAAATTATTGCTCCTGAGGCAAGATGGATGCTTTGCCACCAGAATTAGAATTAGGGTGCATGAGAAATTTGGTGTAGACTTAATTCAACTTCTCAGGTCCTAAGGGATGACACCCATGGCAGGAGCCCAGAAGATAGGTGCTGGAGGAATTCTAGTTCAAACTAGGCATCCAGAAGTCATCTGGCTGACACAGGGAAGAATAAAAATTAAGGACTTTCATTTCTTTGAATTTCAACTTGAGGAGTTGGAACTTTTATTGGATTTTAACTCACAGAGGTAAATTAGTTGATTTTGGAATTCACTTCTGTGTAAATGTAAAAACGGGATTTTCATTTCTTCAGAATTTTATTCTTTGGTGTAAATGTAAAAACAGGATATTCATTTCTTCAGAATTTTATTCTTTGACTTTAATTTCTTCACAAAAATTCCATAACGGACAAGAGTTAACATTCAAGTTCAGGGTATGTTTTTGGAATTTTGTGATTGAAATACGTTAATCCTGTCATTTGATCTCATTGCATTATAGAATCTCAGAAGAACGTGTCAGAAAATAGCTATTTTGGACAGTGCTACTATGTATAATTTGGGGTGAGGAATGGAATAGGAAATGAACATTCAGTGTTCAAAGCATGGCCTTGGAACCAATTTAATTATTTTCTAAGTCATTTCAGAATCTTCTAGTGTACATTTCATATTACCCGCCAGAATCTAGAAGGATCCACTCAGGAGCAGGGTTTGGTTACTGGAATAATAGTTCCTAAGAGACTTAAGGTCCTCGAGAGAGAGTGACTTCTCTGGTTCACCATAATGGAATAATTAAGCCAAAGAAGCTAAGAGAACAAAAAGTTAGGAAATATTAGGGGGAATGAGGGTGTTGTTAAACAAATCTACCAAATGTGACACTAGCTACATGTGTGCTACCACTGTTACATGCTTCTGTAATACCATATATCTCAATAGGGGAAGGATGTCCGTGCAATATAGAAGTTTGATTGGAGAATATGTGCTTTTTCCTAGGCAAAGGAGGCCAACAGAGAAGGAGTAGAATTCTATTCTTTGCCAGGAAAGAAAAAAGATTTTATCTTGGCTGCAGCACTGGGGTTTCTTGCAGGACTCTGTGGGAGTTTTGCTTCCTCCTGTGCCTTCCTTAAAGGAAGCCCCACTGGCTCAACCCTCCAGTTGATTCCATCTGCATTGTCTCATCCTCTGCTGTTTTTGTGCAGCTTTACTATTCTCTGAAGCGGTACTCTAAGATACCTATCCAGGCTATTTACAGTATCTCCTAAGTTAATAATTATTATCTAAGTTAGTATTCTGGTTTTAAAGGTGCATAGATTTTGAATGATTTTCCTCAACCCTATTATTTTCATTGCCTTGTAATTTTGATGGAAGTGATTCTGTAGAACGCAGTTTTTGCATTATGTTCTAGCAGAAATGCTGTATTAGCATGTTGACCACATATAGGAATATGGTATCTTTACAGTGTGGATAGTTCTCTTTTACCTTAGAAAGAATAGATCTTTGTAGGAGCCATAACTAAAGAACTTTTCCACACAAAACAATATAAATTTCTTTGTTAAAATCTTCTATGGTTTGGAAACCTAAAAACATAAACAATTTTCAAATCCCATGGGTTTTTAAGGGTTTCACTAGACTTGATAAAGTAAAAAGTTTAGTGTTAGGTCAATTGTGCTCATTTCTCACAGCACAGGAAGAAAACCTTCGAAGTATATATGATTCTAAAAAAGAAGCATTTTGTGTATCTTTTACTTTTTAGTCCTTGGTACAATTATACTTCTAATCTGTCTTTATAAATAAAAAGTCATTGCCGTGATCTTAACATTAGACATGATTTTTGGATCTGACATAAAACAAGCAAACAACAAGAGTCACACATCAAATGAGAGTATTAGTGATTATTTAAATTAAAAGGCAACTTTCACATAACACTTCACCTTTTCCAAGCTGAAGTTCAGAAGACCATCAAATATAAAAGTTTAGGGACTTCAATCATTTGATGCACAAATTATACTAACAAACAAAGAAAAAAGAAATGCAAAAATTTAATGTTAAGTGACTACGGTGCTACAGACTGGAAGTTCCTCCAACAGGATTAGCTTTTTGAGTATGTTAAGTCTAGTGAACTTGTTATGCTTCCACATGTTAGTAGTTGCATAGGCTAATTTCAGCTGGCATAAGCTTTTATAAGTATGCAAAAACACAGGGCAAGGCATGCATTAAAATGTGATAATAGCACACTTCTGGGACACATGAAGCATGAGGCATGAATCTGAATGCCTCCGGCATCCATGAAGCATCACACCTCAGAGTCAGAGGTTTTATGTTTCGATAAGTAATTCTGTTATACCGCATTTGGGAGGGGAAAAAATCAACTTTCTAAATATAAATCTTTCCCTTTAACCAGCGTTCCTTATAGTTTTAATTCTAACAGTTTATTCATATATAATTTTTTAATTCCTGGTGAGCTGGAAATAATTCAAAGCTAGATAGGATCTTAAGAAAATGTGTTAGTTATTTATTTTGTTAATGCAAGTTTAAGAGTGATTATATAATAATTTTTTTTCTGAAGATTTTATTTATTTATTTGACAGACAGATCACAAGTGGGCGGAGAAGCAGGCTCCCTGCTTAGCAGAGAGCCTGATGTGGGGCTCGATCCCAGAACTCTGAGATCATGACCTGAGCTGAAGGCAGAGGCTTAACCCACTGAGCGACCCAGGTGCCCCAATTATATAATATTGTTGATCATAAAGATCATTTTAGCCAGTGTGATCAGGGGGACTGCAAGAAAGAAGAAATAAACTTCCATAATGATACCCTCTGTATCCTCCCCTTAAAAAAGACCATAAGGAAGTATTCCCTGTGTTACATATGTCTTACAGGTATGTAACGAGCTAGTTAATTGGTATGTCTACAGAAGTTTTTAAATCTTCAGATAAAAACTCCTAATAAAATGAAAAATAATGATCATATCTAACACAAACACTTAAAAATGACCAAGAAACAATTTATTTACTTTCTAAATACACAAACACACATATAATCCCTGGCAGAAAAAATTTAAGAGTTATAACAATAAGTATCAAAATATAATAGTAGACACTTGGAGTATTAAAATGATAAAGTCAGTAATGGTTTGCTTTAATACAGTATAAGCAAGGATATTAGAAACAAATGTAGGTACTCAGTATAGCCATATCCTAAAAAAAACTTAAAGCTTTCTGGATCTAGCCTTGCAGTTTAAGTATGCCACTTCATATTTTGGCCCTTTTCAGGCATATGGAGTTAAGACTTAAAGGAAGTGATAGGATCATAATAGTAGTACATTTGGTAGTACTAATAGTAACACTACTAAAGTAATAGTAATTACAACTAAAGCAATAAAAAGTAAATTTAAAAAAGTAAAAAAATAAATAGTAGCAATTACTACTAATAGTAATTTAATAGCAGTACAATATGGAATTCATGGTATTTTTGCTTTTAAAGACTAGCAAATCAGTGCTTTTAGAAATACAGATGGAGGTCTCATATTTTGATAAAGACATGCAATGAAATTGTTTTAAAACACATTCCATAACTTTTGAAAACCTCTAGAAGTTAACCAAAACAATTAAAAACATTTTTATCTGAGAACACAGCAGTATGATTTCTCTTTTCTCTTCTGAAAGCTATATACTGTAGAAAATGCCTGTTAAATTATGAAAATTTATCAGTTGCTTTTGTTTATTAAGTGATGGCTTACTAAAGTTAAAATACTCATTTATTTTAAACCTAAACTTGAGCTGCGCTATAGGCTGAATGTTTATGTCCCCCCAGATTTCAAATGTTGAAAGCTAATGTGATGGTATTTGGAGGTAATTGCGTCATAAGGGTAGAGCCCTCCTGAATGGAATTAGTGTCCTGATACAAGAGACCCCAGAGGGCACTCTTGCCCTTACTACCAATAAGTACAAAGTGAGAAGATAGCACTCTATGAATCAATTAAGGGGCCCTCAACAGACAATGAACCTGCCAGGGCCTTGATCTTGGACTTGGACTTCATATCCGTAAGAAATAAATTGTTGTTCAAGTCACCCAGCCAATGTAATTTTGTGGGACCAACACATGCTAAAATAAAAATTCCTCAAAACTTAATCCCTTTCATAATTCCCTTTTGTATAAGAATGACATATTTATCCAAGGTAAAACTAAACTTTTATTATAGCTGTTTTCCTTTTAAATACATAAAAGCAAAATTATGTAAGTATTTTTTGAAATGTTAGAGTTTATAAAATTTTTGTCACTTACCTTTTGAAATATCTTTAATTGTTCTGCCATACCAATCATAAAGATATCTGGCTGGTGAATTTAGGTTCATTCTCATTGTGCAAGTATCTAAAACCTACCCAGGAAGGGAAAAACCTATAAGTAATTTATTACAGTAAGCTCTGGCTGAATCAAATAAACATTTAAAGTCCTTTCTATACTAAATAGCTACAAAAATTATACCATAAAATAATATTTGATGATTTAGAAAATGTTTAATATATGAAAAGAAAAAAAGCAGTTAAAATTATTAGATCACAATTTTACTTTTAAAAACACACAAACAAGGGCACCCGGCTGGCTCAGTCAGTGGAGCATGTAACTCTTGATCTCAGGGTCATGATGTCAAGCCCCACACTGGGTGAAGAGCTTACTTAAAAAAAAAAAAAATTAAATTAAAATAAAATAAAATATATTTTTAAAATTAATAAAAAAGAAAAAAGATGCAATGAATATTAAAAAACAGTTACACTATATTTAATAAATGCTAGACCTATAGGAAATTTTGACATTATTCTTGCTATTTTCTATATTTTTCATTAATTTACAATGAAAGCATATTACCTTTAAATTTGGTCTTAACACAAATAAATGGAAAGATATACTATATCAATGGAATGGAAGAATTAATGTTAAAATGCCCATACTACCCAAAACAATCTATAGATTCAATACAATCCTTATGAGAATACCAATAGTATTTTTCACAGAACTAGAACAAATAATTGTAAAATTTGTATAGAACCATAGAAGACCTGGAAGAGCCAAAGCAGTCTCGAAAGGGAAGAACAAAGCTGGAGGTATCACACTCCCTTATTAAACTATATCACAAAACTAAAATAACCAAAATAGCAGGGTACTGGTGCAAAAACAGACACACAGACTAATGGAACAGAGTTGAGAACCCAGAAATAATCCCACACTTGGATGGTCAATTTAAGACAAAGGAGGCAAAAATATAAAATGGGGGAAAGATAGTCTCTTCAATACATGTACTGGGGAAACTGGACAGCTCCATGTAAAAGAATGAAAATGGACCACTAGCTTATACCATACACAAAAATATAAAACTCAAAATGGAGTAAAGACCTAAATGTAGGACCTGAAGCCATAAAACTCCCAAAAGAAAACAGAGACAGTAACCTCTTGGACATTAACTTTAGCAAAATATTTCTAGATGTGTCTCCTCAGGTAAGGGAAACGAAGGAAAAATAAACAACTGGGACTACAACAAACGAAAAAGCTTTGGTACAGTGAAGGAAACCATCAGCAAAATGAAAAGGCAATGTACTGAACGGGAAAAGATCCTTGCAAAAGTATTTCCAATAATGGACTAATATCCAAAATATATAAAGAATTCATACAAGTGAACCCTCCAAAAAACCCAAATAATCCAATTAAAATGGGCAGAGGACCTGAACAGATGTTTTCCTCAAAAAGATATATAGATGACCACAGACACATGAAAAGATACTCAACATCACTAATCATCAGGGAAATGCAAATCAAAACCACAAGGAGATATTACCTAAGAGCAGTCAGAATGAATAGTACCGAAAAAGACAATACATAACAAGTGCTGGCAGGGATGTGGGGAAAAGGAAACTTTTGCACGCTATTCGTGGAAATGTAATCTGGTGCAAATGTAAATTGGAAAACAGTACGGATTCCTCAAAAAACTAAAAATATAAGTACCATACAATCCAGTAATTCCACTTCTGAGTATGTACCCAAGGAAAATAAAAACATGAATTTAAAAAGATATATGCACCCCTATGTTTATTGCAGTATTATCCAGAAGCCAAGATACAGATACAAGATATGGAAGCAACCCAAGTATCCATCAATAGATGAATGGATAAGCATATATATATAGAATGCATGTATATACAATGAAATATTACTCAGCCATAAAAAAAAAAAGAATGAAATCTTGCCAATCCTAACAACATGGGTGGACTAATGGGTATTATGCTAAGCAAAATAAGTCATACAGACAAAGACAATTATATAATTTCACTTATATGTGGAATCTAGAATAAAAAACAAATAACAAACAAACAACAACAATAACAAAGAGAAACACATTTATGAATATAGAGAACAAACTAGGGGTTGTTCAAGGGGAGAGAGGTGGACAGATGGGCAAAATAGGTAAAGGAAAGTAAGGGGTCCAAACTTCCAGTTATAAAATAAGTAAGCCCACAGGAATGAAAAGTACAGCATAGGATATATAGTTAATACTATATATGGTGACAGATAGCATATGCTTATCATGGTAAGCATTTTGTAATGTATATAACTGTTGAATCACTATGCTGCCCACCTGAAACAAATATGTCAACTATACTTTAATTAAAAATAAAAATAAATAAAAATAAATAAATTAGGTCTTAAGGTACTTTCTTTGGGTTTTAAATTCTTTCCCAGTGTCCTAAAATCAATTATATTGTCTGATCACAGTTCACCTTGATAACTTAGGTTGTTTGGGTACAAAAAAGTGAAATTAATAAACCACATTTCAAGGTTTCCTATAAGTCTGAATCTCAAGAAATTCTTTCAATGGTTTTTAATATTGTAAAGTTGTTTTCTCTAATATTTTATTTTATTTTAAGATTTATTTATTTTAGAGAAATAGAGAGTGAGCAGGGGGAAGAACAGAGGGAGAGAGAGAATCCTAAGCAGATCCCACGCCCAGCATGGAGCCCAAATGGGGCTTGATCCCACGACCCTGAGATCAGGGTCCCTCCTCAGGTGGTTAAGCATCAGACTCTTGATTTTGGCTCAGGTCATGATCTCAGGGTCATGGATCCAGCTCAGAGTTGGCCTTACCCCTCTCTGTTCTGCTTGAGATTCTCGCTTTTGCCCTCTACCCCTCCCCCCACTCAGGTTCACATGCTCTCTCTCTCTCTCTCTCTCTCTGTTTCTCTCTAAAAATAAGTAAATAAGTCTTTAAGGTAAGGATAAAATTGGGCAGAACTGGAGGCAGGGTGTTAACAGCAATGAAAAGATATTCTTTTTATTTTGTAATCATGTAATCCACATTATCTTTCAATAGTTTTAGGTTACACAAAAGCAGTAGTACATTATAGCCATTAATAGTGAAAATAGAAGACAAAGTATTTTCAAGTTGGATTTAGAATGTATTATATCGTTTTTAAAAAAGATTTAATTTAATTTAATTATTTTATTTTATTTTATTTTATTTATTTTTTAAGTCAGCTCCATGCCCAGCATGGAGCCCAAAGTGGGGCTTGAACTTACAACCCTGAGATCAAGACCCGGGGCTAAGACCAAGAGTTGGACACTTAACTGACTGAGCCACCCCAGTGCTATTGTTAAGTATTCTCTAAACCCAATGTGGGGCTTGAACTCACAATTCCAAGATCAAGAGTTGCCTATCCTACCAACTAAGCCACTCAGGCACCCTTATTATATACTTATAAATGGATATAGTGATTCATGTTTTGGGAGTCACTTTCAAAAACCTAATAAAACTTCCATGAGGTTACCTGATACTCTCCAGCAACTTTGTTACTTTAATTTTTCTCATGCTGTGAGTAGAACTTTCCCTCTACTACTTTAAAATTAGAACTGTAATCCTAGTCCTAGCCCAACCAACTCATTTTCTTTGTGACAACAAACATATTTAAAGAGCTTCATATGTATATAAAGACAAAGTTGTACTTCCCTTTCAGTCTGGAGAACAACTTTCAAACATTGTGACTAATTTGCTTTATCTAATGGCTGTATCAAGTGATGTGTGTTGCATTTAAAAGGCAAATATCTAATTGACTAACTTAATTTGACAAATTGGCCTTTACTGGATTACATCGGAGGTTCTCAGCCTTCATTCTACCCCACACATGACCAGTAATGTTCTCATGAGCCACAAAGTCCCATAGGCCTTCACAGAATTGTGTGTGTTTCTTGCATGCTAGCTGCAATCCAATTTTGGGCAATTTTTCAGAAATGTATTGCTACTCTTTTTCTCAAAATCAGGAAGGCATATCTGTTTATGAGTAAGACTGAAGTTACAAGAATAATCCCAGACCCTCTAACTGATGATGAAACTATTCACAATATCAGTGCTTTACCTAAATAACAATGTTCTTGCAATGTATTTCACAAGTGATTATAAACTCTGTCATGTGGAGCAAATCTATGACCTCCAAGCTCACCTTGGACTCCTATCCATGGGCTGGAACCTTTACTAAAAATGCTTGTACAGCAATATTCAAAATAGAAGAGAGAAGTTATCAGAAGAAACTGGAGTTTTGTCCTGTGACTTTAGACAGGAAGGGGAGTGAAACATACTTCCTGACATAGGCATGGGATTCACCCTTGTGTTTTTAAAGATACTTTACGGACACAGTTCACCTCTGAGTAGCAAAATTCTCCTATTGGTCACTTTATTCCATGTGACTTTGTCTCCAGGGATTATCCTTTTACCATCACCACCACCCTCCTTGTCAGAAATATTAACAGGAGACAATTCAGTACATGTTCTTCCTTAGCCAGTCTCTCTCATCACTATTAAGAATCTATGTTTGGTCCCATAGAGCCTCCTCCTTTGGTTCCCCATGTTCTTGATCTTTCCATTCTTTATGTTTAGTGCTCAATTTCTTAATATTAAAAATCTGTTTCTTAAAAGTTCAGTGAAGACCTTTGGTACAAATTATATTCTCTAGTTACTAGTGAAGATTCAAATATCTAAATATCCTTCTCCAAAGTTATAATTTCCCAATTAAACTAAGCAAAATGTGAGCTATTTAAAGATGGTCCCATTTATTTCAACTAAAATTTCAATGATTTAAAAAATTATTTCAAATAGTGCTGTCTTTGTGTTTAAAAAAATCAGTCAAGTAAAATTACACAGCTTTCTAACTCTAAGATCCCTCTTTTCATTGTGCCAAAATATCAGTAAAAATGTTTGTGCAAGCCAAATTTTAAGAGTTAAATGAGTTTAAAAGCCAGGATTAGAAAATCAGATACTAGAAATTAATAATGCATGAGCAACACTGTCATTCTCTCCTACTTTCAGGATGAAAGATCCTTAGAGCGTTTAAGCAATGC